TGATATCCCATGTCCCTCACTGATGTCCCGTGTCCCTCCTTGATGTCCCATATCTCTCATTGATGTCCCATGTCCCTCACTGATGTCCCATGTCCCTCACTGATGTCCCATGTCCCTCATTGACGTCCCATGTCCCTCCTTGACGTCCCATATCTCTCATTGATGTCCCATGTCCCTCACTGATATCCCATGTCCCTCATTGATGTCCCATATCTCTCATTGATGTCCCATGTCCCTCATTGATGTCTCATGTCCCTCACTGATGTCCCATATCCCTCACTGATGTCCCATGTCCCTCATTGATCTCCCATGTCCCTCACTGATGTCCCATATCCCTCACTGATGTCCCATGTCCCTCACTGATGTCCCATGTCCCTCATTGATGTCCCATGTCCCTCCTTGATGTCCCATATCCCTCACTGATGTCCCATGTCCCTCACTGATGTCCCATGTCCCTCATTGATGTCCCATGTCCCTCCTTGATGTCCCATATCCCTCACTGATGTCCCATGTCCCTCATTGATCTCCCATGTCCCTCACTGATGTCCCATATCCCTCACTGATGTCCCATGTCCCTCATTGATGTCCCATGTCCCTCCTTGATGTCCCATGTCCCTCACTGATGTCCCATGTCCCTCACTGATGTCCCATGTCCCTCCTTGATGTCCCATGTCCCTCACTGATGTCCCATGTCCCTCACTGATGTCCCATGTCCCTCATTGACGTCCCATGTCCCTCACTGATGCCCCACGTCCTCACCTTTGTCCCGTGTCCCCTCCATCCCTGCAGCACCAGGACTTCGCCGAGGTCTTCATGCACCAGGCGATCCACACCATCGAGTACTGCCTGGGCTGCGTCTCCAACACCGCATCCTACCTGCGGCTCTGGGCGCTCAGCCTGGCCCATGCCCGTGCGTGTCCCCCGAGGCTCAGCCCCATCTCCCCCCCTCTGTGCCCTGCTCACCCCCTCTGTGCCCCGCAGAGCTCTCGGAGGTGCTCTGGTCCATGGTGATGCGCAACGGCTTCGTGCGCCTGAGCTACGCCGGCGGCGCCGTGCTGGTACCCGTGTTCGCCGCCTTCGCCGTGCTCACCGTGGCCATCCTGCTGGTGATGGAGGGGCTCTCCGCCTTCCTGCACGCCCTGCGCCTGCACTGGTGAGCCCGGTGAGGGGGTGCTGCTGGGATGGGGTCCCCCAGCGCTGCTCCTCACCCGGCCCCTCTCCTCGCCAGGGTGGAATTCCAGAACAAGTTCTATGTGGGTGCTGGGTACAAGCTCTGCCCCTTCGCCTTCGCGCCCGCCTCTTGGCAGTAACCGTGTGGATGCTGGAGGGTTGGAGCCAGAGCCTTGCCCCACTGATGGGAGCTTGGTTGGGGGGTGCCCCCCAAACCCCCAGGGTTGGGAGGGGGCGGCTGGGGGTCTGGCTGCAGCCTCCCATCCCTTGCTTGCAGTGAATAAAGCCCCGTGGCTGGTCCCCACCTCGGCATCTCTGTTCCTTCTGCCGTGCTGGGGGTCCCGAGGGGTTTGGGGGGGTGCTCCCCCATCACTGCTGCCCATAGCCAAAGGTGGGGGCTGCGGTGGTGCTGTAGGTGCTGAGCAAGGGGTAGGGCAGAGCGTGGGGCTTGGACCCCACAAGGACACTTGGGGGGCAGGTGAGGGGCTGGAAGTGGGGCACGGGCAGCTCAGGGAAGCCGGGGGCAGGCACTGGTGGGGCTGGTTGTGGGGGTCCAACAGTGGCCAGAGCCCCATTACCATGGGGAGCCCCTGGAGGGGGCAGAGACAGCACCAGGGCCTCAGCCCCTTCTCTTCCCCCCCTACCTTTGTCCTGCTTCTCAGGGTGGGAGGGCAATAACGTGGCCCGGGCCCGGGGTCCCATTGCACCCAATAGGGGCCCTGCCGGCACCCCACACCTGCAAGAGAGATGCGGGGCTCAGGGGGTTGCCATGGAGCCCCTCTTATTGGGGTGGGGTTGGGGTTGGGTCTTACCATGGCTCAGGGTCCCCATCCCGAAAGCCCTTGGCGAAGGGGTTGCTGGCGATCTTCAGCTGGGTGATCTACGGATGGGATTGGGGTCATGGGGGGGGGCCCTGTGTGTGTCTGGGGGGGGGTACCCCGATGCCCCCCTCCCCGGGGCTCACCCGGTGGTTCTGGTAAGCCGTCACCGCCATGAACTGGGTTTCGGGGAAGCTGAAGGACTTGAAGTTCTGGTGGGCGAAGCGCTCGCTGTCGCGGCGCGGGTCCACCAGCACCACGTGGAAGCGGGGCTGGTAGCGGTGCATGGAGTTGAGGATGATCTGTTTGGGGGAGCACAGAGAGGGGCACATGGGCAGGACCCCCCCCATGGAGGGCCCCATTCCCCAGCCCAGGAGGGGGGTCCTCACGTGGCCGTTGTCATCCAGGAGGTTGTTGGTGAGCTTGAGCTTGTCGAAGGAGACGATCTGCCGCATCCATTGCGCGCCCTTGGCCGGGGAATCGGGGTGGAAGTGGACCCGGCCGGGTGCTGCCGGCTCGGCCCGGCCTGCTGCCAGCCAGGAGGAGCTGTGGAAGGCGTATCTGAAGGGATGGGGGGCTCAGAGCCAGCCCCACAGCCTCACAGCATCACAGCATCACAGTATGTTAGAGATTGGAAGGGACCCCGTAAGCTCATCCAGTCCAATCCCCCTATGGAGCAGGAACACCCAGATAAGGTTACACAGGAACGTGTCCAGGTGGGTTTTGATGTCTCCAGAGAAGGAGACCCCACAACCTCCCTGGGCAGCCTGGTCCAGTGTTCTGTCACCCTCACTGAGAAGAGGTTTAAGTGGAACCTCTTGTGTTCCAGTTTGTACCCATTGCCCCTTGTCCTATCATTGTTTGCCACTGAGAAGAGCCTGGCTCCATCCTCGTGATGCTCCCCCTTTATATATTTATATGCACTAATAAGGTCACCCCTCAATCTCCTCCAAACTATAGAGACCCAGCTCCCTCAGCCTTTCCTCATAAGGGAGATGCTCCCCATCGCCCCATCATCCCCACCTGTATCTCTTGTCATCCAGCGGGATGAAGTCCATGAGCAGCACATAGTCAGAGAGCGGGTCCAGCCCCGACAGCTTCACTTGGAAGGTGGGGAACATCCTCCTGCGAGGACAGCGGATGGGAATGGGGTGCCCCCCCCCCATTGATGGTGCCCCCCCACCCCATTGCCCCATTGTGGTCCCCACCTCCCCGCCTTGGTGACGATCATCTCGGTGCCCAGGCGGTTGAACTCCTCCCAGAGGCTGCCCATCTCCAGCCGTGCCGTGGCGTGGGACACGCGCCGGTTCTTGCCGCCGCTGCCCGGCCCCTCTGCTGCCCACCCCAGGCTGGGGGTGCACAGGGACCCCCCCAGGCAGGCTGTGGAGGGACAAAGGGGGTGTTGATGACCCCATGCACCATCGCCCCACTCCCATCGCCATCCATTCCACTGCGGGGTTTATCCCCGTCCCCATTGCTGCCCTGTTATTGTGGGGCTGGCGGAGCTCCCCGCACCCCAAAACCACTCTGGGACCCACTTCTGCACACAGGAGCATGGCCATAGGGGGGGTTTTACCTGCCATGGGCGCAGCATCCGCGTCTCCATCCCCTGGCATGGTGGCAGTGGGGACCCCAATGGAGCAAGGCAGCTTCAGCACTGGGCTGTCCCCTGCATCCTGCCGGGGGTTTTATGCCCCACTTAGGGGGTGGAGACAGCGCAGTGGTCCCCAGGGGCTGGAGCACGGCCCCTTCCCAACCTGCCTGCACGCCTTGATGTGAGGGTGATGATGGACGGGACTGCTGATGGTGGCCATGGGACCACCCCAGATGGATCTCGGGGTACATTGGGCAGGGAAGGGTCAACCCTCGGGGTCTCTGATTGAAGGGACATGGGGGTTGCTCTGACTCCCTCCCCTGCTCAAAGCCCCTCTGGGTACCATCAGCTCAGCCATCAACACCTGATATTAAACAGCACAACATGCTGAAGCATCCGCAGTGTTGTGGCTGCTCATGCAAAGCCTCTCCAGCTCTGGAATAGGGAAATGTGGGATGTGGTCCCCTCTCCCCTTGCAGCCATCCCAAACGCTGGTCCTGTCTCTGTGCTGGTACCCAGGGCCCCAGTCTTGTCCCACACCTCCCATCTCCGTGCTCAATCCCAGCCTGACAGCAGGAGATGGATGGGGAGAAGCCATGGCCATGGGGACAAGGGATGTGTGCAGGGAGGTCACTGACACAGGGATAAAGGTTGGAGGGGGCAGAGAGCAAAGGGGCTGCTCCATAGCCCCCTTCAAACTGCAGACTCCAGCACCTCGCTGCACACCATGGGGCAGGATGAAGGATGCTGGGGCTCTGCAGGAAACGGGACATTATCACAGGGATGCTGATGGCTTCTGCCCCTGGTGGTACCCTGGTGATGGAGGCACTGGGCAAGGGCTGATATCCCTCCCTGCTCTGCATGGAGCTGGATCCAAACTGGGATTGAGCTTTCACTTCTTTGGGATCAGGGCTTAAATCCTTCCTATGGCCATCATAATGGAGAGGAGAGCCTCTGCACCCCATGTGCTTCAGGGTGGCTATGGGGGCTGTGTGAGCAGTGCAAGGATTTGGGACCAGGACTGATGCAAAGCAAGGAGGGACCATATCCATGCACACCCCCTTATGTCCATCACATCCATACACATCCATACACATATCCCATGCCCTGCGGAGCAGGCTTGGCCCCATCCATCTCCTGCTGTCAGCCAGGCTGTGGCTGCAGGGCTGGTATTGAGCAGGGAGATGAGGAGGTGCGAGAGGCAGAGCTGACAGCAGGAGGAGGATGGAGGTGGCTCATCCGCAGCATCGCATCATGTCCTGCAGCTCCTGTGAATGGTTTTACTGCTGGAGAGAGAAGGAAAGGGGAGGATGTGGCTCTGGAAGGGGTTGGAACCCCAAATGGTGCCCAGATTGTGGGGGTTTGTTCCCAGTGTGCACTGCCAGGGGATCTGCACTTTCCTCCCATGTTTGGCTGTAGAAGGGGGTTCCCCATAATCCCCATGAAGGATTTAACCTGCCCGAGGGGAGACTGAGCTGAGCTCTTAGGCAGAAGCTCTTCCCTGTGAGGGTGCTGAGGCGCTGGCACAGGGTGCCCAGAGAAGCTGTGGCTGCCCCATCCCTGGCAGTGCTCAAGGCCAGGTTGGACACAGGGGCTTGGAGCAAGCTGCTCCAGTGGAAGGGGTTGGGCTTGGAGCTGGAGGAGCTTTCAGCTCCCTTCCAACCCAAACCATTCTATGATTCTATGATTTCAGGCACAGAGAAAAGATTAATGCAAGGATTAATGGTGTCACATTCTTTGTGACTTCATGCCTCCTGCAAGTTCTCCATGTGCTTTATCTTGCAGGTGAGGGTAAATCTCAGATTTCCTATTGGGAATTTGCAACATGGGAAATTCCAGTTAGATGGAGGTAGAAAAACCCTCACTATAAGAGCAGTCAGACACTGACATAGGGGCCAGGGAGGGTGTGAAACCTCTGTCCCTGCTTGTCCCCAAGCCTCAGCCGGACAACAGCCATCGTCTGGGTTAAATAATAACCAGGGAATTATGAGGAAGCTTTGGGAACAAAGCAGGATTCAGCTGATTGACCCTGGGTGCCTCTTAGTTGTGTGTTGTAAAGAAATGAGCAAACCACTTAGATCTTGACTTAACTGAATCCAGCCATGGAGCTTCTCCCTCCAGCCCAGGTAATTTCATGTCTCTAGGATAGCCCTCAGGCTCAGCCATGGCTCCAGGCTTCACCATGGTCCTGGCAGAGGCTGCAGCTCTATGGGCTGAGGTAATGCACACATTGGAGTGTTTTGGGGTGGTTTATGTATGCAGTGTTTGCCCATCACCCATCAGCTCTCTGTGCAGGAAAGCAACGGGAGAGACATCAGGGCAGGCAATGCCATTGCTCCAGGCTGCCATGGGCTGCCACGTATCAGGTCTGAAGGCCGCTGAACAACACCACAGCTCCTGTGCTCTGTTGTGGTCAGGCTGCCATGGAGATCATGGCTTTTATTGCTGCCAACAGGGGGATGGAAAGCAAAGGTGTGGCTCAGGGGATAGGGGTTCCTTGATAGTTTCTGCCCTTTGGTGGGCATTCATCACCATCACATCTTAAAACGCTTTCAAAGCACCTTCATTCATACTAGACGTCACACAAGCACCACCTTGAGCTTAAATTCTGAGGTATCTTAAATGAAATGAGTTAAATGGCTCTGGAAGTCATTTAATGAGTTCGACTATCAAAACCTGAAAATACGTCCTGCACAGTGTGCCATTTATGTGCTCTCTTCTCTATTTATCTTGCTAAAGGTGCTGGCATCCTTTTAACATGGCCCTTCATGACTTTACAGCCCTGTCTGGAAGCGCAGCAGTAGAATTCACTCTCTGGTTATTCTGATTTGCCAAGCAAAAGGAGAGCAAAAAGACAAAGCTCTTTGAGCTCCCCAAGTCCAACCATGCCCC